CCGAGAGTATGGCCCCCAGACACCCTTTTAGCTCAGTGGTGAAGTCATTTCCGAGGTTCACCGTTCAGCCGGGGAGTAGACAGCCCCATAAGACCAAATGGGACTAATGAGGTACAGCAGTCCAGGGACAAGGGCCAGAAGGCAGAAGGGGACAGGAAAGCTGGTGATAGGGAACCCAAGGTTGAACAAGGATAGTGTTGATGTGTTGTGATGTTGTTAACCATTGTCATAGGGCAACCTGTGTACTAACTGTTAAATGAGAAACTATTTTGTTCTGTAAGCCTTCATCTAAAGTGAGAATAGCAGCATAACTGGAAGAGTGTAGTCCATGTCACTGAACTGTGCATGTAGAAATTTTTGAAATGGTGTATCTTTGGCTATGTATATTTTCAACAACAACAACAACAACAAAAGGTCGAGAAGGGAGAGGGTTGACATGTTGTGGGGTTGTTAACCAATGTCATAAAACAATATGTGGACTACTGTTTCATGAGAAACTATTTGTTTTGTAAGCCTTCACCTGAAGTACTATAAAAAAAAATAAAACTTCCAGGTAGGAATTAATTACTCTAAATCTCTAAGGGAGCCCTCGTGGTGCAGTGGTCAAGAGCTTGGCTGCTAACCAAGAGGCTGGCAGTTCGAATTCACCAGCTGCTCCTTGGAAACCCTACTCTGTCCTATAGGGTCACTATGAACTGGAATCAACTCAATGGCAATGAGTTTTTTTTTTTTTTTTTTAAAGCTATAAGGCTTTTACTGTAGAAAAATATGTTGGCAATCTGTATATATTTTATGGTCTTTTCTGTTTCTCTCTAGCCTAAAAGTAGGTGAAGTTTTCTAAAACTAAGATTCAAGTGTCTGTTGTTGATGAAATAGAACAGAAAAAACAGTTGATTTCTATATTTTATCAATGATCTTTAAATATTCACATTCTCCCTATTTTTTAAAAATAAATGTTTATACCCTGGGCCTTAGTTTTCACATTTATAAAATAAGCATATTATTATGTAATTACCTTAAAGAGGATCTTTTCAATTCTAATCAATAATATTAACTGATATTTTCTTACAGGACAATTATATCTTTCTTATGTGTTTAATGTGCAAACACTACAATAATAAAATAAGCAGAGTCAGTAATTCAGAATAATAATAATTAATTCCAAATTTTAAAATTAGTTTAGTCCACTTGTTGAAATCAATACTCAGTAAAATACAAGCTCTCGGACTATATTTTTAAATTATATATTAGTATAACAATAATCTTATGATAATTTACTTTTTTAGTTAACACTTGACAGTCTACTGTAGAAATAAAGTTGTAATTTTGTACTTCCCATCTGAAGCCAAATCAAAATATACTCCATAATTTACATCACATATAATACTAGTTAACATTTTAAATATAGATAGGACATGTGTTCAATTCATACTTACCCATGAAGTTGAGATAACCTTCACCTCCGAGCGCATGAGTAATGAGTCGAATCATTTTATGAAGCTGTATTCCACGATCAATGACTGGAGTAAAAGGGGCCAGCACACTCATGTTTGTATACATTTCTGCATCCATCAACCAGAATGCCAGCGTCTTATCACCAACAAGTGCCTACAGAAATAAAAGTCACTGGAATGAATGCAAACAATAGGTACTAAGTAGTTGTGACTTATACTAGAGTAACACATGATTCCCTAGGATGGGAAGATGTGTGAATTAACATTAAGTTCCTGTATTTTCCAACAGTTACAGTCTACGCTGAAGTGAGCTTGTAAAATACCTTAGAGCTCGACAAGCTTGTCTGCAAGCCTGATTTTTATTTTTATAAGACCTTGGTGAAAAACTCACGATGAGCTGTCTGAATAATCGCTACACCTGAGCTGATGCCTTATATTTTCTAAAACTGGAATGAGCATTTGTTATAATGTTGAGAATTCTAAACACAATTTTAAAATAGTTTACCATACTATTGTTTCATCTGTTTTGAAAGAATGACAGTTTCTGAAAAATCATTTACATAATACATACATACTTATATACATATACACATATCTACATTAATATATTGACACAGTGGCTGCAAAAATGGGCTCAAGCATAACAACAATCATGAGGATGGCACAGGACGGGGCAGTGTTTCCTTTGTACACAGGGTCACTATGAGTTGGAACCCACTCGACGGTACCTAACAACAACAACATTAATATATAAAGTTTACTATATATAAACTTTATGTATATGTATAAAAATGTTACAATGGTTCCCCCCTCCCCAAGCAGAAGCAATAGGTTGAGAATTTTTTTTCATTATACATTTGTTTGCTCATTTTATTTGCCATTTATCTGAAAATTAGTTTATCTGAAAATAAAATACAATATTGATAATTGGAGCAGGTAGTTAAAAAAGCCCTACGTAGCAGAAGGGAGGCTTCCTAACAATCTGAATTATTCATGGTTAACAATCAAAAACCCATTGCCATCGAGTCAATTCCAACTCATTGTGACCCTATAGGACAGAGTAGAACTGCCCCATAGGGCTTCCAAGGAGTGGCTGGCGGATTGAACTGCTGACATTTTGGTTAGCAGCCTGGGCTCTTAATCTCTGTGCCACCATGGTTCCTGGTTAACAACAGCTAACTAATAACATACAGGAAAACATATACTAGACATGAACCTGTGATCTCATTACTCTATTACAATTATTTCACTTTTAGAAAAATTATTTTACGTTCAAACCTATTATATCTCTAACCTACTACTGATTAAAATGACTTTTCTATAAAACAACTGTTGAAAGAAGAACTACTCATTCTGTGGTTCTTGCCCTATTAGGAGGGCCCAGGAGAAGTTGGCTCAGAATATGGTCACTGCCATAAGAGTTCTCAGAGTTTGATATTAGATGGTAATTGTCATCCATAATATTTGATTTCAAATTTTTTGGTTTATCAAAACATTCCCCTTGTTCACTGACTTATAAGAGACAGCAATGAAAGAGACCGGTAAACAGTATAAGTAAATATTTTAAATCCTAACATATAAAACAAATACATGCCAATAAAATTCTAAAGGAAATGTTTGGTAACTTCTGCTTAGGTTCACAGGTGAAGTTTATTCTCATATCAAATTGCTAGCCCCCTCTAAATAATCCTATTGAGATATGGGATAAAGTTCAGTTAATTTTATCAATTTTATTAATGAATTTTATAAATTTAATTGTTAAGAAAGTTAGAAATTTATTTAAAATTCTAAAATAACTTCCAAATATATTTTTACAATGATGGATATATTTCTGTATTATTCATTATATAAATACATATATTTCAATATTTAAATTTTTATCAGATGTAAAGATCACAGTACATTTCTTCTTAGAAAGAACTAGGCAATTTGCTTCAATTTCTACATTCCTGACAATTAGTAAAACAAGACAATTACATGAATCTTTAAAGGGTGAAAGAATTTTTGGTAAATCTATAATGTTTATGTAGATTTTGGGAAAAAATTATGAAAAAAATCTCTCAATTTAATCTTTAGTTAATTTATTCTATTCAGTTATTTACCCTTTCATTAATCATGGAAAATAAACATATATCTGGAGCTCCTGATGTGATAAAACTGATATGAGTTTGCAGTCGGAAGATAAAATTTAGATTTCATACAATTGTATATTTGGTGAGAGTTTGTTTGTTTTTTAATTCTCCCTTTAAACTATTATTATTTATTTTCAGTTTTGCTGCATTTTAGTTTTGGCATTTTCATAGTTATTTATTTAATCCGCTGTATGGAGTAAGATACTGTTGGAAGTTGAATTGTGTACCCGAAAAAGAGATGCTAAATCCTAACTGCTGGTACCTGCAGGTGTGTCCTGAATTGGAAATAAAGTCTTTACAGGTGCAGTCAAGTTAAACTGAGGCCATACTGGATTAGGGTGGCACCCAATCCAATATGACTGCTGTTCTTAAGAGAAGAGACACAGAGACAGCCACAGAGGGAAAGCATCACATAATGATACTGGACTGATGCATCTGTAAGCCGAGGAACACCAAGGACTGCCAGCAACACCAGAAGGTAAGAGAAAGGCACGGGACAGACACCTCCCCAGAGCCTTCAGAGAAAACACGGCCCTGCTGCTGATGCCTTTATTTCAGACTTCTAGCCTCCAAAACTGTGAAAGAATAAATTCTTGTTGTTGTAAGGCACTCGGTTTGTGGTAATTTAGTCCAGCAGATGTTATCCAAATAGTTGAAAAGAAGACACTGCCCTAATTTGGAAGTTGTGAAATTTAGCATATTTGTACTTCAGGGGTCAGGATACTTTCTACAAAAAGTCATACTGTAAATATTTTAGGCATTGTGGCTGTTTTATCTGTCTCAACTACTCAGTCTGCCATTATACCACAAAACAATCACAGACAATGTGCAAATGATGAGCATGAGGGTATTCTGATTAGCTTTACTTAGAAAAACAAGCAGCGGATACGATTTTGCCCAAGGGTCATAGTTTGCCAATCCCCGTGTATAAGAATGACATACATTCTTAATAAGTAGAGGTAACACTTCAAAAAGCACCTATCTACCTTAGATGGCTAATTTCTTCTAAAATTATAGAGAAATTTATTGTTTCAGCTTTAATTTTCTTAATACATATTCTGCAAATAATTTTTTAAAATTCTAGGATTTCCTTTTCAAACCATAAAAACGTAAATGTTGATGCTGTTGATGTTTATGGGGATTAATATGTCTTTAAATAATTAGCCACTTTTTTCATTTTTTTTTTTTTTATCTAATATCTATTGAGTTGTTACTACAAGCATTCACACTGCTGAAGGCTAGAAATACGAAGGTTATGGGAACAAATTTTCTGCCTAAAAAGTGATCGAAACATATGGATGGAGCAACTATTTTTCCCTGGTCAACTGGCGGAAAGCTTCAAAGACAATGCAATACCTGAGCCAGGTCATTATACCGGAGTAGAAACTTGTCAGGAAATTAGGCAGATGTAGGTAGATGGGTGGAGCCCTGGTAGCGCAGTGGTTAAGAGCTCGGCTGCTAACCAAAAGGTCAGCAGTTTGAATCCACCAGCCGCTCCTTAGAAACCCTATCGGGCAGTTCTACTCTGTCCTATAGGGTTGCTATGAGTCAGAATTCACTTAACAGCAACAGGTTAGATACGGGGGTAATAGTACAAGATTTAAACAAGACTGATCTGTTCAGGAATGGATGGAAATTTTAAAACATTCAATAATGGTATGCTTGCTGGGTAAAGCAGGGAATGAAGCTAGGAACTTTAGCTTGGGCTAGGATATGAGCCGCCTTGAACGACAAGCTTAAACCAATAGATTTTGGGTAACAAGATAAGCTTTTCTCTTTAAAAAATACCTTAGACTGCATTAGAGAGGATGGGCTGAAGCTGAGAACGAGACAGGAGTCACAGTGATCACTTAGCAGGAGAGCTCTGTGATTGAGGAAAAGCGTGGCAAAAGCTTGCCTGAGGCATTAAAAAAATATATAGAAGAAAACACCAAATGGAAACTAAAATTACCCTGGATCAGCACCAATATTCCTCAGTAGGAAAACATACAACATTGCAATTGCAATTTACAATCTATTAATTACTGTTTGGCCGGGCAAACATATTACCACATTTTGAAGCTGGAATTTCTCGATCTACAAAAGAATTTTAAAATATTTCTCAAGTATGAGTATTTTTATATAAAGAACAAACGCAAAATGAGTTTATATTAACTACATTAAGCAATAGAAGTTTGTATTTAGATTTGTTTATAAATATACAGAGATAGACCGACCGACAGATAATACATTTATACATATCCCCTTTACAAAAACATCATTTACCTGATCATGGCTCTCTGCATAAGCAATGTATTTTTCAAGGTGGCGTCTGTTTGTGAGGGTGTACACTATATTGCCCATGTTCCAGTCTTCATCTTTAAATTCTTTAAGTAGCTAGACACAAGAAAGAAAAATAAACATTTGAATTAACCATTATTTTTCTTACTTTAAATCCTTTATTTGACACATAGACACAATCTCTACCCATATAGTAAAGATCTCATTGTTTAAACTTTTACTGATATTATAATTTTTATACAGACTGTCCAAATGACAGTGGTATATTATGTGTGTGTGTGTGTGTGTGTGTGTGTTGTGCTTTTGGGCATATGGTTTTATTATTACACTTTAGGATCTTTACAACATTTCTCCCCCATAATAACTTCTACCTCTTAATTAACGACTATAGTAAATTACTGTTATGCAGTATGTCTGCCTGTAACTTTCACAAGGTAGAGATATACTTTCTATCTTTTGAGGTTTGAATGAAAAAGGCATTTTACCAGGAAGAATTCCTTGTAATATTCCTGAACACCAATAATCAAAAAAGAACAATTATTTCAGACACCCCATGGGGTTTCCAAGGCTGTAATCTTTATGGAAGCAGACTGCCACATTCTTCTTCCGTGAAGAGGCTCGTTTGGTTCGAACCACCAACCTTTTGGTTATCAGCCGAGTGCTTAACCACTGTGCTACCAGGGCTCCAAAGGCAAATTATCATAAAATAATTATCATTTTAATAACATACACTTTTTTGGTCTCCACATCCTCACATGATTCTCACTCTTCAATAAGACTTCAGCCCCTCTAACAGCTGTTTGATGTAACTGATCTTGCCAAAATCTCAGATGACTGTCTCCTTAGGTTAGTACTTGCTGTATATGTTGACACTTACGATCTTATTCCTCCCGTGAAACGCTCTCCTTCTTAGTCTATCATTTGTTTTTCTGTTTTTGTTTTTGTTGTTCTCACACCACTCTGGCCATCTTGCACAATCTCTTCCTCTGACTATCCTATAAAAGCTGGTGTTCCTTAGGGTTATGTCCTAAAAATAAGTAGCCTCTTCTCTTTTACTCAACCCACTTTTTCTACATGAGCTCATTTCTATGCCCAAAGTGTCAACTCTACTCTCTGGTAGGCAGAATTCTAAAATGGCCTTGTGATTTCTGCTCTCTGGTATCCACACCTCTACGTAATCCCCTCCCTTAGTGTGTGTGGGGTCTGTGAATATAATGGATGTTATCTGCAGAAACTGTGAGATAATAACTGGGTGATGCTTTAAGATGGTAAGCTTGTTGGAATTTGTTATGCAGCAATAAAAACTAATGCAGATTTTGGTATCAGCAGTGGGGTTCAGCCTGCTTGTACTTTTCGCCATGAGTCAGAACCAATTCAATGGCACCTAACAACGAGTGGAAGCGAGAAGAGTTCTAAGGTGATTAATAGAAAAAGCCTAGATTGTCTTGAACGGACTGTTGGTAGAATTACAGACGTCAAAGGCAATTCGGGTGAGGGCTCAGAAGAAGTGAGGAGAGCTACAGAAAAAGTAACTATCATCTTAAAGCATACATATGACACAAGCAACAAAATGTTACTAGAAATGTGGATATTAAATGAGCTTCTGGTGAGGCTTTAAAAGAAAATGATGTCCTATAGACAATGGAGTAAGGGTGATGCTTTTTATGCAGTGGCAAAGAACTTGTCCAAATTATGTTCAAATGTTTGTTGTAAGGTAGAACTTATAAATGATGAACTTGGATATCTGGTTGAGGAGATTTCTAAGCAAGACCTTAAAGGGGCCGTGTGGTATCTCCTTACCACTTATAGTAAAATGTTATAGGAAAGAGATGGACTTAAAAATGAACTGTGCAAAATGAAAACAGAACTTAGATTTGGAAAATTCTATTATGTAAACTAAGGAAACATGTCCTAGAATGTTCACCAAGGACATGGCTACACAATCTTTTGTTAAAGAGATTAAGCCTGTGACTGATGGATCTAACCAACTACCACAGTAGAAAACCCATCAGCTTAGTCTGAAGGGGGCAGAGTGAGAAATAAAAGAAAAAATGCTGTCTGCCTCTTGGAATTCTACAGGCAGGAATCAGGCCAAAGGAGCTACATCTGTTGTCTTCCAAGAAAAGAAAAGGATCATCCCTGGAGTGGCTTGGAGATCAGTAGAACTGCTAGAAGAAGCACTGGAAGCAGGTCCTTCTCAGTTTCCAAGGGTAGGGCCACGGTCTCCTGTATCTCAAAAGGTGGGGCCACAGTCTTCTAGGTTTCCAAGAATTGGATCTTTGCCAACTCAGTTTCAGAATGTGGGGCTGCCCTTAAGGTGTGACAGGGTATGTGGCCACCACTCAAAGCTGAGGGGGTGGCGCTGCCATCCCGGAGAGCCTAGAAGGCAAAGGTGAAGCCCAGAGTCAAGGGGCCTCCACCCAGAATCCAGAGGGCATGGCCAATGTCCAGAGACTGGAGGACAGGACCATTGCTCAGATGGTCTCAGAGAACAAAGGATTATTTTCAAGCCTTTACAGCTAATATAATTTGTTCTGCTGTGTTTTGGACTTGCTTGTTGCCTATTATCTCTTCTTTCCCTCTAATTTCTCCCCTTTGTAATAAAAATGTCTACCTTGTACCTGTTCCACCATTGTACTTTGGAAACAGATAACTTGCATTCTAGATTTCACAGGTTCACAGATGGAGAAGAATCTTGCCGCAGGATGGAATACACCTAAAGTCTCACCCATATTTGGTTTAGATGATTCAGAAGATGAGGTTTTGGACTGGAGTTGATTTAAGACTTTTGGGATGATGTGATGGGGTGAATGTGTTTTTCATGTGGACATGAATTTTGGGGGGGCCAAAGGGTGGAATGTTATAGATTGAATTGTGTCTCCCCAAAATATGTGTTGTAAATCCTAACCTCTATGCCTGTGGTTATAATCTCATTTGGGAATTATGTCATTATGTTAATGAGGCAGGATTAGCAAAGGGTGTGTTCTGAATCAATCTCTTACAAAATATAAAGAGTAGATTAGAACAAGCAAGCAAGCATAGATGGGGTAAGATAGATTCCAAGACACATGGAGATCTCTAAGGAAATAGGAAGCAGAAGCTGAAGAGACAAGGACCTCCCTCCAGAGCCAAGAGAAAGAGAAAGCCTTCCCCTAGATCCAGTGCTCTAAATTTGGAGTTCTAACCTCCTAAACTTTGAGAAAATAAATTTCTGTTTGTAAAAGCCATTCACTTGTGGTATTTCTGCTTTAGCAGCATGAGATAACTAAGACAGCAACCTTTCCAGGTATTACAGTTAGAACTCTCATTTGTTTGTTTGATTCTAAGTCTAAGCATTTTTGTGAAACACTTGCTCTTTAACCTGATAACATTTAAGAAACCATTATAAATGGAGATGCAGAATTTGTGTTGGCAGGGTTTAATGTTATAGCTGTCTATTGCACAAAAGATCTGGAGTTACAGGAAAGAGAGTTTAGAGAAGATTACAATAATTGCTTCCTTCAGAACAGGCTCTATGGTTTTTCTAGGCAAAGTTAAGCACTTTTACCATGTGATATCATGATACTATGGTCTCATCTATATTAAAGGGCTAATCAGAAAGTTATGATTATTTGTATATATATCTGACTTCTCTTACACATATTCCATCCATGATGATGGCCTTGGGCATTCAAAACTGTTCTATATCAAACCGAAGTCTATATAAGGGCTTTAGTCCTTAGGCATACATTAAATGGAACAAAATATAATCCAAACTCCTTCTGCCACCATTAAATTTAATAAAAATGTATTCAGGAAACATTTCCATGTTATCATATGCAATTATTCATTCTTAGTGTCTGGCTCTTGGTAGGGACTGTTAAATGCTGAATGAAGGAATGAATGAATGGATGAATCCAAATCTGTTGACTAAAGAACATACTCTAATGCAGGTATAGGAACTTAACTAGTAATTCTACATTAAGTGATGATTTGTAGGCAGAAGGGATGCTTTGATAAAGTTTAACATGTTTTAAAATTAGAGCACTGAAGTTTCCTGTAATTGCAGTGATAATGTAAAATTTCATTTATAAAACTAATACCAATTGTATTTTCACCCTGCCTGACTAATGCAAGTATGAATACATTAAATACTTTTAGAACTATGAGAAGCATCTTAGTAAAAAGCATGAGTCAAAAAACTAATAGGATAATTTAATACTTCAGTTGTACTGTCTGTAACCAATGATCATAAGTAAAAAATAAATTGAAAGAATACCATATAAGCAACAAAAAACACAGTATTCACATTTAAAAACATTTACATAAAATCTTACCTGGATCCATTTATCTGGAACTGCCATGGCTAGGCGATAGTCAAAACCACCCCCTCCCTGGGAAACTGGAGAACACAGAGCTGGCATTCCTGACACATCCTAAAACAAAGCAGATCACAATTGTCAGTTCATATTGCTCAAACTTTTATCAAACTGTCTTCTATACTTCTAATAGTAAAGTCCAGGCCAATACATGAGCGAATATACATGTATAGGGAACATAAATACCAACACTAGATAGTGATGTGTGGGGGGTAATTTGGTAACATAATTTTAAAAGTAAATAAAATTGTGATAGAACATCTTCTCTCGCCAGTAAGATTTGTGTTTAATGTTTTTCACTCTTGGCTAGCTTCAATTTCATTAGGCTATTATTTTATTTTATTTGGCATCACAGAGAGAACACAAGGGGGTCCCTGGGTAGTGGAAACAGTTAACTCTCTCAGTTGCTAACCCAGAGACTGGAGGTTTGAGTCCAACCAGAGATACCTCAGAAGAAAAGCCTGACAATCTACTTCTGAAAAGTCCTATGGAACACAGTTTTATTCTGACACAAAGGGGGTTACCATGAGTTGGAATTGATTTGACAGCAGCTAGTTAGAGAACAGAAAAGATTATAAACTATTATTAATAACACCTAGTTCCTCAGACTTATTTGTAAGGTTACTGTATAAAGTTTCATCAGCTACTGTTTCCAGCAAACACACACACACACACATACACACACACACACAATACATGTGGCATGTATCTGTTATACTTGTCCTCCCATATATAGCATTGGCATGGAGGGTATTTGTGTGAGTGCTTAGCTTTTGACGAAACAGAAAGTAGAGTTAGTATATGAAGAGTGAAGCAATAAAATGACTTTCTCTACAGTAGGTTACACTTGGAAGGTCTTTGAGATTATTTAGTGGATCCTCTTCATTTAGCAGATGAAGAAACTAAGACTCATTGTAGTGAAGGATCTCTAAAGACACATACTTCTTAATGGTTGAGCCAGGAATCAGACATTGGGCCTTTTGGCATAGAGTCTTTCCGCTCTGTCATGCTACTTCTAGGCTACTGATAATCAAGTAAATAAACAACCAATCAAACAAACAAATAAATAAGTTAAAATAATGGTATAAAGACTCAGATGTAACAAAAGATACTATTATAACGACTGTTGCAAAATATGAGCTAAGTACTATCAATTCTAATTCCTCCATAACTTTCAAATAAGTCCTTTTCCTTTGCTCTATTTCTACAGCCACTATCCTATTTAATCTTCATTACTGCTTGCCTAGACTGTTAAGTTTCCAAATGGAATTCCCTATCTCCATTTTCTCTGTATACAAACTTTGCTAAATTAACATCTTATGAGACAGTCTTATATATCTCACTGCCTTCAATAGCTTTCAATATCTAATAATCAAAAACTCAAATTCCTTAGCTTAAGACTTAATTCAACAATTTATACATTAAGCATTTACTGCATAATTTATGTTTTGATTACTTCCTCCTCACCTCCCTACCCTTGTTAGAATATAAGCTCCATAAGAATTTTGTTGTTGTTGTTGTTTTGTTATTCACTGAGATATGCCAAGAACCTAGAAAATAACCTGGCACAAGGCAGATACTCAAAAACACAATTAATATTTGTTGGGTGAATTAACAAAGGTGTTATGAGGGATTTAAATATAAATAACACATAATATCTCTGACCTGCAGGAATTTATAAGGTAGGGCCTATACACTCAATTATCATCAATTCACAATGTAGTTGTGATTAACTCTTAACCAAAGTACACAGAAAGTGAAATGGAGACGCCTCAGTCTGTCCACAATTAATTTGTACTGTTTTAATTAAAGTGCTAAATAAGTCAGCCGCTTGGAACTATTCATTCTTTCCTGTGCGTGTGACAAGCTTTTCTACAAATATCACTGTCATGACTCTCTCCTGGATTATCCTTACTTCCTACAAGACTATCATATAATACGAGCTCTCTGAGACTTAGCTCAAATGCTTTTTCTGCCATAACACCATCTCTAAACACTTCTCACAAAAAAGCTGGGAAAAAGAAATATATTGCCTCACTGGACTTCCAAAATAATTTAATTGTTTTCTTATGTAAGAGAGGTAGAGGTAAATGTAGTACATGGTGAATACACCCATAAGAAAATAATATATTTTTAATAATCTTATTTCTGAATAGTACTTTACAAAGTAGAAATAAGATGAAGAATGGTGAACAGAAAAGAAACTATTTTAAAACAGGTTATATTTATCAAAATATAAGTCACAGTTCACAGATATGATAGGAATTCAGTTCAGTATAAACATTTGCTGAAAAAAAAAAAACAAAACAGTTCCTATTGAGTCAATTCCAACTCATGGTGACATCATGTATATAGAGTAGAACTGTTCTCCATAGGGTTTTCAAAGCTGTGACCTTCAGAAGTAGATCTCCAGGCCTTTCTTCTGAGGTGCCTCTGGGTGGGTTCAAACCTCCACCATTTACACCACCCAGGACTCCTAACATTTGCTGAGTGTGTACTAAATATCTGGCACCATGCTAGGCACTGGGATTGCAGACACAATGCCTTTCTAAAAGAGTTTTCATAAAACCAAAGTCAAGAATGACTAGAGATGGGCTGGTATTAAAAGATCAAGACAATTTTTTTTTTTTTTGTCAAGAAACTGTTAAGGAGTGTTCTGTATCTGGTCTAGAGGTGTTTTATGAAATAGTCTGACAGAAAATAGAATCTGCTAAGAAAAGTATCTGGACACCAGTTGGTCTTGCTTGACTCCTCAATCTGAATCCTACTATGCTATCTGACTAACACAGATGGGATATTAGCAGCCCTCTTTGGAAACCAGGGAGTTAATGACTGTTCTTTTAAAACTTTAAAAGGAAGAAAACATAAAGGTCACCAAAATAAACATACTTCAAATATAAAGAAGTTGACCCACTGACATAATATATTAAAAGCATTACATGTGTTTCAAATGAAATTAAAATAATTCGAACTCTTTAATATCTAAAGAATACTTATGACTACTCCAAGGGACGTGACCTCAACCAAAAATATTTCTAATTATGTAGCAGATATAACCATGAAGAACACTAGAAATATTCTAGAAACAAAAGTTTCAATTTTGCAACTGATATTACAAATTCAAATTTCTGCTATACAACTTTATATAAAATTATATTACTTATTCTTTACCCCACATCTCTTTTCTTAAAAAAAGTTCACGAGGATCAATTCCACTTTTGAAGGGAGACTCCCACTAGACAGAAAAGTGATGTATTGAAATTGAAGTAGTTTTCCATTTAAGTAGAATACATTGAAGACATATCTCGTTTAAAAAAAAATCTAAAAGCAAGTAATATAAAGTAGGCTAAAGTCTCTAAGTTTCATCGGTAGAAACACAAATAATCAGACAAGAGCTCCCCAGATGATGAAACTATTTTACTTGAAATGAACAGAGAGATCAATGTAACACTTTGAAGTTTCATGTATTAAGTAACTGCATCTTTTTCTTCATCCTATTTTTTTCTATTTTTACTGCCATTAATTGTAGTAATTTGTCATATATGATATCTCTGCTTTGAATTGCTATAAATACACTTGACAAAATAATTAACTTTTTAATGTTTGACAGATAAAATTAAAATGCATAAAAGGCAAAATAAACGTTTAAAATACACTCTGATTGATATTAAAGGATACCACATAAAAGTATTTGAAAGACTTACATGCTATGATTAAACGCAGATAGGGAGAAAGGGTGTGAAATGAAATTGAGTATCAAAATGGTATTTCAATTTTTACTTATAATTCTCCTTAATAACTTGTTTCAGGAATTTAGGGCCCTTTGTTCTATTTCCAAGGAGCCCTGATGGCATAATGGTTAAGTGCTCTGCTGCTAACCTAAAGGTTGGCGGTTCAAACCCACCAGCTGCTCCACCGGAGAAAGATGTGGTAGTTGGCTTCCGTAAACTTTAAAGCTTTGGAAACCTTATGAGGCAGTTCTAGTTCTACTATGTCCTATAGGGTCGCAATGAGTAAGAACGGACTCGATGACAATTTTTTTTTGGCAGGGGGGCGGAGGGGTGGGTGTATCACTGTATTTCCAAAAGATATTTAGAAGGTAGAAGACCTGAAGAAAATAAAACTATTCTTCTCTATATAGAGATAAACAAGGAAATCATATCACCTAGTTAGAGAGTTTTGGTTTTGAAAACTGATGGATGGCAAAAAGGCTATAAAAACACTAAATTCTACAGGAAGGAAACTGTCGCTTCCGCCCTTCATTCCAGTGAACTAAAAAACGATAATGTGAAAATACACTTTAACTCTGACTCTTTATTAATTCTATATGCCAGCCACTATACTTTGTATAGAATATTTTCAACTTGCTAAATTCAATTTTAATAATAATTCCTAGCTAGAGGACTCAGAAAACCAGGGGGATTTTAGTACTAAATCTAAATTAGCATAAGCATTTAACAAACTGCTTAATTTATCACTGAGGGGAATTGTCAATTACGCATATACCAAATTATATCATTACAGTGCTGCTTTGGGACAGTTAATCATGAATAACTGGTGAACATTTGGCAATCTGAGAGCAATGACGTAAACAAGAAAGGTAATCGCATCAGAACAAGAATGGCTTCACAGAAGCTTGCAGGCAGTGATCCATGCCATCTCTAATGATTAGACCAGAAAAGATAAAAAAAAAAAAAGTACACAGACACACATTAATATTCAATTCTTTTCTCTGCTGAAGGTCTCATGGCGGAAGGACATGTCCACTGATTAGGATATTTTACTTTGTAACCACTGGCATTTCCCTTTTAACAATGGGAGGGTGACAAGTAATTAGTGTACATTATCTCCTAATAGGAAAACAAGAAATTCTAAACAATGTCCCAACCATACACGGTAGCTGCACTATACTCAGGGTGCAATTCCATTTATGCAATAATTGATAACATGAAATTAATTATTCATAAGATATTCTATATAAAAGGGGGACAGAGGATAAGGCATCGTTATGGCTTTACCTCAGCTATTGTTATGGAATCTGGATACAACGTGTGAGCCAAATGATTTGCCAACATGAGATAAATCAAGGCATCTTCATCTACTTGTAGTCCAAAATATGCATGGTAATCACCTGAAAATACTTGACCTAGAGAACGGAAAAACCAATACATATATATTACGTTAACATGTAAGTCTTAACTGCACAAATGCAAACACCAATTAGTTTGTTGATATCAGTTGTTATTGTAGCAAATTACAATGAATGTAGATACCACATAATGTCATCATTATCAAATATATCTGTTGCTCAGAGCAGTAATCCATGTCAACATTTGGAATTCAGGCAATGCTGCAGTCCAATGTTTGTTTTACAAAACAAACAAAAACAAAACTTTAAAATATTTTTCTGATTATAAACGTAGAAAATGTCATAAAAAATTCACATATTTCATAAATATATAAAACTAACAATAAAGTCTCTCACAATTCCAACTTCCAGTTATAATCACCATTAAGAGTTGGGTGTATGCTTCTCAAACTTTTTTCCCCTTATGATATTCACTAAGATACGCATTGGTGTTCTGGCTTTTCTTTGAACCTTCTAAGAACATTTCCATCTCAGAGCTTTTGTACTGACTCCTCCTGCAGACATTATCTGCAGGACATCTCCCTTACTTCATTCAGTTCACTGCTCAAATATTATCTCCTCAGCCAGATCTCATCAGAGACGCTTTTCCTGACTACCTTAGCCATTCCTTTTAAAAATTTGTCTTCATAATACTTATCAGTGACTAAACATATTGCATATATATTTGTTTATGGAATCTCTCCCCCACTACAAGATAAGCCTTGAAAAGGCAAGGACTGCATCTGTTTTGCTCCTGTCTATATCGCTAATACCTATAAAAGTAACTGCACAAAATAAGTACTAAATACATAATAATGAGCAAATCAGTTAATAAAATAGTAGCATATATATCATATGGCATTTTCTTGTTGTTGTTGTTTATCTGTTTCTGACTTTGAATTCAACTTGGAGGTCATCCTGGAGTCTCTCAATGTCAGTATCCCTGAGTGGTGCAAACGGTTAACAAGCTGGGCCGCTAACCCGAAGGTTGAAGTTTAGTCCATCCAGAGGTGCCCCAGATGAGAGGCCTGGAGATTACTTTCAAAAATTCAGTCATTGAAAACCTTATAGAGCACTGTTCTGTCATGGCACACATGGGGTCACCATGAATGAGAATGGACTCAATGCAACTGGTTATAATTATTCTTTTTATATGCTGCATGGTATTTCAATAAATGGAGATTTTGTTTTTAATGGTTTATTTGGACATTTCTTCCCATTAACAGAGACTTGGTAGTTCTCAAATTTTCATCTTAAAATAAATGCGGCACAAGAATCCATCACCATATCACTTTATTCTCTTGTGGGAGTAGTACATCAGGAAAAAATTATTCTGTGGCACTGTTGAGTCAAATATAGAAATATTAAACATTTTTATGGATTTTGCCAAATGGTTTTATAAAAGGTTGTTTGCCCACATTCAGGTTAACAATGGATATTCTTAAAACTTCAAAAAAAAAAATTTTTTTCATGAAAATGAACACATTCATTAAAAGCAAATGAAGAAATTCTGGAAAAGTTTACAGAGAGAGTCAATAATACATCACCCAAACCCTAGCATCCAGAAATAATGTTATGGTTGATGAACATAATTTTAGGTATCACTATATAGATATGTGGAGCCCTGGTGGTGCATTGATTAAGAGCTCGGCTGTTAACCAAAAGGCAGGCAGTTCGAATCCACCAGCCACTCCTTGGAAACCCTATGGGGCAGCTCTACTTTGTCCTATAGGGTCATTATGAGTTGGAATCGACTTGATGGCAATGGGCTTGGGCCTATATATATGCAGATGATGAAACCTTGCTTGCTGAAAGTGAAGAGGACTTGAAGCACTTACTGATGACATTCAAAGACTACAGCCTTCAGTATGGATTACAACCTCAACATAAAAAAAAAACAAAAAAACTCAAATTTGGACCAATAAGCAACATCATGATAAATGTAGAAAAGATTGAAGTTGTCAAGGATATCATTTTACTTGGGTCCACAATTAACACCCACGGAAGCAGCAGTCAAAAAATCAAACGACATATTGCGTTGGGCAAATCCGCTGCAAAAGACCTTTTTCAAGTGTTAAAAAGCAAAGATATCACTTTGAGGAACAAGATGCACCTGACCCAAGCCATGGTATTTTCAACTGCCTAATAGAAATGGGAAAGTCGGGTAATGAATAAGGAAGCTCGAAGAAGAATTGATGCCTTTGAATTATGGTGTTGGCGAAGAATACTGAATGAAGAACGAACAAATCTATCTTGTAAGAAGAAGTACAAACAGAATGTTCCTTAAAAGCGAGGACGGCGAGACTTCGTCTCATGTACTTTGGACATGTTATCAGAAAGGACTAGTCCCTGGAGAAGGACATCATGCTTGGTAAAGTAGAGGGTCATCGAAAAAGAAGAAGACCCTAAATGAGATGGACTGGAACAGTGGCTGCAACAATGGGCTAAACATAGCAATGATTGTGAGGATAGCGCAGGACCAGACAGTGCTTAGTTCTGTTGTGCATAGGATCGCTATGAGTCAGAACCGACTTGAGGGCACCTAACAACAACATCAACATATATATACAGGTAGATGAGTAGATGCTTCGAAATAATTTTCTGAGAATGGTGTTATTCTACGCATGGAAATTTTTTATATATTTCAACTGAATTTAATTTTAACTGAAATTTACAGCAGAAAAATAAAGTGAAATGAAACTAAAGGTAATTCTACATTTCAAAGTCCAGATACATTTTTGTCACTCAAGGGACGTTAGACTCCTCTGAGTTTAAGAAAAGTAAATGTGAAAGCCATCTAAAATTGAGTAATAATGTTTGTATTACTTTAAATAATTCTTCAATTTATGCCATATGGATTTCCTATGATGACAAAGAGATTATAACGTCTTCAAAATTCCTTTTACCTCCTCCTCCGGCACTTCCTAATTTTTGTGCCTTATCGTATTTTTTTCTACGACCCATTTGTCAGTTTTTAGCACTGTAGTGGCTTGTGTGTCACAATGGAAGCTATGCCATTGGTGCTTCAAACACAAACGGGGTCACCAGGGCAGAACAGTTTCAGAGCTTTCAGACTAAGACAGAGTAGAAAGAAAAGGCCCGTGATCTGCTTCCAAAAATTAGCTAATGAAAACCTTATGAATCACAATAGAACATTGTCCAAGTTACTTTCTTTGGACATATCATCAGCAAGGATCAGTTGCTGGAGGAGGACAACATGTTTGATGAAGCAGAGGGCCAAAGAGGGTGAGAGATACCCTCAGTGAGATGGATTGGCAAAACAGCGACATTAACGGACTGAACATGCCTGCAATCATGAGGATGATGCAGGACCAGGCAATGTTTCGTTTGTTGTAAATAAGGTCACTGTCAGTCAGAGTCGACTCCAGGGCAGCTATCTATCTATAGTATTTTTGACTTATTAGCATTATACCATTTACTTTCTATTCTTTTAGTTGTTTACTCTTATTTTTGTAATTAAATCAAATCAATGGTCAACACTAATCTTCTTCCCCTGGCTTCTCTGTATTTAACTTCATTTTGTCTCTCTCTTTTTGTTTGCTGGATTTCATCATTGAGGGATATTTTCAAGTGTAAACATGGATGATTTATTCCCTGAGTTCTTTCATGTCTATACCTCAATGACAAATCAGCTATTGAATTCTTGATTCATACTTTGTTTCCCTGAGAATTTGGTAGATATTGCTGATAGCCATAGTCAAAGGTCAGCCATTTTGTTTCATCCATGCAAGTAAATTGCTTTTTCTTCGTGCCTCCTCATGAATTCTTTTTCTTTTTTTAATTTTATTTTGTTGCTGTTGTTGAGATTATACACAGCAAAACATACACCAATTCAACCGTTTCTACATGTAGTTTAGTGACATTGATTACATTCTTTGAGTTGTGCAACCATTCTCACCCTCCTTTTTCTGAGCTGTTCCTCCCCCATTAACATAAACTCATTGCCCCTTAAGGTTCCTAATCATTTGAGTTGCTGTTGTCACTTTGATCCCATATAGATAGTTCTTGAAAGAGCATAATGCTGAAGGCAGACATTTTTTACTAGTTAAGCTGAACTATTGTTCAGTTTTAAAATGACTTCTGGGGATATTTTTGGTTTAAGTTTTAAGATAAATTCTCTTTATCCCTGATTTTTATAAATACTTTGTGTCATGATGTTAATCCTTTTATCTCAATTATTCCTGGTATATTGTGTGTCCTTTTGATGTGTAGTTTCAGTTACTCTCATTTTATCTCACATTATATTCTCATTATAGCTCCTATTCAGCTATTTCTCATTTCAAGGAAAAAAATCTGTTATATACCTCTGAATGTTTTTATGTTTTTTTCTTCACCAATTCCTGGGCTCTCTACACATAAAACGTATATTCCATTTCCATAGGATTCAATTCACTTTCTCAGCTCAGCACAGTTCCCAGGAAAATACTCAGCCTCAACAGACGCTGGTTCTGCAGGGGCACACAGGGGTTTTAGTCTAGCAGAGGATCTTCCTTGACTTTCGCCATGCTTGCTTTCCAATCCGGACAGTATTAGTGAGACCTGTCACCTTTTATAGATTCAGCATCTGTCCTAGGAATTTCTCATGGAGTTGGCACTATGATTAAGAGCAAGTAGCTTCACACTTTGCTGCAGTACTATTTTCAGCTTCAATCTTGACAGCCACTTTTCAAGATTTACAGTGGAAAATTGTTCTCACTTTTCTTGATTAGTTGTTGCTAGGGAATATTTTGTCATTAAAAAGTTATTGTTCACAGTGTTATCTGTTGAGCAATTAGGATTTTATAACCCTTCTTTGCACAACTTTTAAAATGAAAGTCTCTGATCAATATTTTTAATTGCAAATTAATTTACTATTTAATTTTAATTAAGTAGATCTATATTTGAAATTTATATATTTTCTTAAGGGCATAATTATGCAAAGGAATTCATTCATTTACAAATGTTCTCATTTAGCATTTTTGCTATTTACATTTCATTGCAAATCCTGTCAGGCTCACATCCTAAGGATGTTTCAATAATGTTTCCTTAAAAAAATAAATAAAAACAGCTAGATATTAAAGACAGCATACTATTAAATAGGTATATTTTAAAGTAAATCATTATATTGTTATTTACTGATAAAATGTTTTTAAACCGTATCCTTTGCCAAAAAGGGACCAGAGTACCTACAGAAAAGACATATGCACCGGGACTAATAAAAATCAAGCCAACAATAACGGTCATTGCAGCTGTTGTAACTGAATCCCAAACCTGTTTGCAAATGTTCAATAAGAAAAAAAAATCATTAGTTACATCTTTAATATGTCATGCTACATACCCACTCCATGGTGATGATAGAGCATGGAGGTAACGCCATCAAAGCGAAATCCATCAAAGGCATATTCTTCCAACCACCATCTTATGTTTGACAGAAGAAATCTTAAAACTTCCCAGCTAAAATATTAATAAATACATATTTTAGCACAATGTAAATAGTGTTTTTCTTAATCATTATATATCATGTTTACTAAAAGAGTATTAATTAGAATTATAAAGTGCTCTAATCTCAAAACCCATGATGTTCAAAGTAATCATTGAAAAATCAGAAAAATACTAACAAATAATTTATTTGATGAAACACATTTTAAAAGGCACATTTATTAAATTTCCTTTAGCCACAAAATCACTGAATATTTGAGGAAAATTAAGAAGTTGAAAACAAATGTAAGTCTGGCCCAAAGGACAGGGACTGTGTCTTGTTCAATGCTGTGTCCCCAGCAACCAGAGCAGTTATTATTACGCGGTACAGCTCAATAAACTCTGTTACCAATCTCTGAATTTTCAACAAGATTTTTCATATAATATAAACATAGTGATATGACTTTTTCTCCTTTTAGAAAATGCATTTTCATTCTAGAAAAAAATGCATTCAATTGCTTGTCTTCTTAAAATATGTCCTCATGCTACAATTTCAAACAGATACAACTCAGAATAAAAAGTAAAGGAAAAAAGACAACATCAACCTCATGGTAAGTAATATTACATTTACTAGACTTGTTTTGTGGGAGTAAAAATCAAAATCTAATTACTAAAAAACACATGTTTAATAAAGTAGAAAGTTCTGTAAGTTAAAGAGCCCCTATATACATGAAAACAGAAAGAAAACAAAGAACAGTACAACTCAATTAAAAACACCACACAAAATCAGTCTATTTTGGACAATTGAAAAGAAGGCATCATCGATTAGTATTTTTTTTAGTCATATAGTTATGGTTCTCTATCTTATTATAACAGTGGTTTTAAGACTTTAATACCTCATTTAGTTTAATGACAGAGCTGTAACAGTGTACACAGATCTTTAACCCAGTTGAAATGTATATTTTTTAATGCCTTCATATATTAAAGGGCAATCTGACATAAGTAGAGATTAACTCATCACAATCAACTCAGGAATTGTAAATCTAAACTGTTTTAAATAGGTCACTTTGGATTTTGAAAACTGACTGAAAGTTTTAAAAAACAAAAACCATAGAGATACAAGTGATCTGGTAGATGTGAAAGACAGCCAAGAGGTTCTAGATTGTTAGGCCTGAACAATGACAGAGGTAGAGTATGCTCATGATTTTATTAATGCATATTCATTTGGGGCTTAAAAGAAAATAAATCTTGTTTAACAAAAAAGAATTGAGTAAACACAAAGAGCTATTCTACAATTCATCAAGATAAATTACTCTTTTTTATAGTAATCTCAATTTATACTTTTTTAAGAAGATTGCTATATGGGTATCTCAGGGACAAGAGATGAATAAATTTGTATATTATCATACCGATAATTCTTTGAAAACAATGCTTTGAAGAGGACATAAATACTTTTTCTAACTTGGCCATTTGACTGGTAAGAATATATTTTACTGCTCAAAAGCATTTGAAATGAAGCGTTGGAAAGCTGTTTTTCCATTTTCTTATAATATGTAAACATCCAAATTATTGTACGCATTTATTATATAAATATATTTATCTCAGATCACTGAACTGAAATTCCAAGAGAAAAGCTGGGTCATGGTACCTCAAGACCACCCCCAGGTTCAGTGATTCACTAGGAAGACTCACAGGACTCAGCACTTCATTATACTCAGGGATTATGATTTACTACGGCAAAAAAGAAAGAAAGCAAAATCAGCAAGCAAAAAAGGTGCATTGGGCTAAGTCCAGAGACAACCAGGTACAAGCTTCCAAGAGTCCTCTCCAGTGAGGTCACACAGGACATGCTTAATTCTTCTGGCAATGAGTTGTCAAACACTTGTGAAATATTATCTGGAAGGGAAGCTCATTACAGATTCAGTTCTCAGGGATTTTATTAAAGGTTGGTCACATAGGCACCCTCTACCTTAGCACATGTCAAAATTATAGACACCCAGAAAAAAAGCAGGTGTACAACATAAACCACATTGTTTATACAAAGAATTTAAGTACAGTGAGCCACTCTTGTCAGCTCTGCGGATGGTGGTAACCCTTCTGAAGTCCAAGTCCCCACACCAGCCAAGGGTCAACCTGGCTGGCAAGTCTTTCTAAGGATAGCAGCCTCAGGAGTCTCAGGCATACTATATTAATACTTTTCTGCACAAAAGCAGAAGTTAAACTTTTATTATATGATTATAAAATACTTAGTACAAATTACTAGAGAAAAACAAAAACAAACACAAAAAACTTCTCCCCAAGTCATTTCATTTAAGAGATATGCAGATCTCAAAACCAAGTGGAAGACTCTTAAATATAAATTAAAAATCTAAACACCTAAGGATTTCTGGCAGAGGTACTCTGTTCTGCACGCTACCCTCCAGCAATCACATGGACAATGAAAACGCTAATCTCATACATGAATGAACTAATTCACTGAATCTCAGATATGCCTTTTAAGATGAGCTTAAGGAAAATGTCACCAGTGAAAATACAGATCTCTGAAAGATGTCTATAACTATTTCTATCGTCACAATTTTCAAATTCAGCAACCATAAGTTCTAATCTTTCCTTCTTTGGGGAGTTGAAGGAAGAGGAGTTATGATGTATTCCAAACTAAGACTGAATTAGAAATACTGTTCAGTGTGCTCTGTAGTAATAAATGAACTGAATCATCTCAAGTGAATGGTTTACCTTGAATCAAAGTATGAAAATGTCTAGCAAAGGCTACAATAAAAAAGGCAATTTACTTTTTTTAACCTCAAAATGTCATCAGGCAGACCATAACACAGTTGATATATCCAGTTGATTAGAGTTCCATAAAAATATAAAGCATAATTTAAGAACAGAGTTTTGCTTTGGTGTGTTCCAACAGATAAGGCGGACTTAGATTTTAAGGTTATTTCACTGACATAAGGCTTTTAAAGCCTGTCCTTACAAAACAAAGGACAACCTAGTTTCCAAACAATTGCAGGAGCTAGATACTAACTTTTAGAGGGTAATTTCGAAAAATATATACCTCAGTGATCAGCATGAATATGTATAAGAATTAACCTATTTGGTTATTAGCTTTATAGCTGAAAGTAATTAAGACATAAGTTAAATGCCAAAACTGTGTCATCCCTACTGTCTACAGCCAATCTATTAGCTTATTTTCATTTTTTTTCTGAAGCTGCAACAAAGCTCCTAAAAAACAGAAAAAGATAATGAAATGCAGCTGACTTTCCAGTGAATCATAAACCACTAAAATTTTTAAATCACAGGTGTCTGATAGAAGAACCAAATACATTGATGAATAATGTATACATTTAAGGATTTCTAGCAATCAGAATAATCAGGAGTCTAATTGATTTAGATGTCTGAAATATTCAACCTGTAATCAAGTAATGAGGATTTATTAAGGAAAATTTGCCACAAATAGTTTTAATATTGAAGTTTTTAGAAAATATTCCCCAAATCAAAAAAATGTTGATTGTCTCATATTCGGCCAATGAACTTTATGATATAACAAAACACAGCATAATATAATAAAACACAGCATAATTTTCCTGGCGAGCAGGTATAATCAGATATAGTAACATTTATTTAACAGTTACATTTTGTAATGCAAGGATATTTGCATAATTTCTATTTATTTCCACTCCAAAATATCTTCCACTGTTTTCAAAATAAGCCACTTAGTCCACTGGGTGTTACTGAAATCTACTAATAGCATACACTAATAAATAGAAGACATTATTTAACATTGGCACATGGATTTGCTATGAGTTGGAATCTACTCGAAGGCAACTAAAAACAGCAACAAAAAAATATATGAAGAAAAATGATATGTTCTTCTTCGCTATTCCACAGTCTTAAAAGCTGAATGGCTATTGGATAATACATCATAAAACCATGAAGCGAAACCTAGTATTTTGATCTGGGTATTTCAAATGAGGCAGTAGATTGAACTTGTAGACAGAAGCTAATCTTGTACTTTTTCCTTTGTGAAAAAAGATAGGATATGTCAATTAAATGGATAGAGTCTGAAATTACAATAAAAATAACATTTTACAGAAGATATTATAAAAGGTCAACATTAAAAAATGAAAATGACTTATCTATCAATTTAATATTAATTAAATTAACCAAATGAAAAGAATGTTTTATTTCACTTATATTTTGTATTATACATTCAGCCATTAGGAATTGCTTAATCAAGGGAAAAAAAAAACAAAAAACTCCGAAATGATGAAAAAGTAATTGTTCATATCTAAGACTAGATAAAAGTATCATAGATAATAAAATGTATCTCAGTCTTTAGACAGTGAGAATTATATTGGATCTATTGTATATATTGTTGTTTTGTTCTGTTGTATACAGGGTTGCTATGAGTCGAATCAGTTTCGACTCATACCGACTCTACGCATAACAGAACAAAACACTGCCCGGTCCTGCACCATCATCACAATTGTTGCTATGTTTCAGCCCATTGTTGCAGCCACTGTGTCAATCCATCTTGTCCAGGGTCTTCCTCTTTTTCACTCACCCTCTACCTTACCAAGTGTGATGTCCTTCTCCAGGGAATGGTCCCTTCTGATAACATGTCCAAAGTACTTGAGATGAAGTTTCACCACATTCACTTCCAAGGAGCACTTTGGCTGTACTTCTTCCAAGACAGACCTGTTCATTCTTCTGACAGTTCATGGTATATTCAATATTCTTTACCAACACCATAGTTCAAAGGCATCAATTCTTCTTTGGTCTTCCTTATTCATTGTCCAGCTTTCACATGCATATGAGGCAACTGAAAACACCATGGCTTGGGTCAGGTGCACCTTAGTCTTTAAAGTAACATCTTTGCTTTTCAACACTTTAAAGAGGCTCTCTGCAGCACAAAACTCAAATGAAAAAAATTGTTAATTCAACTACTAAAAATCTGTAATAATATAAATTTCAGAACATAGGTAGTTAACATAAATAATGATATTGAAGTTCTTTTTTTCTTTAATATCACA